GCTGAGTAGTGCTCAACTAGACGGCAATAAACAACAACAGTACCTACCAGCAGTCAGAAAATAAAGAGATGCATTGCACTGGGAAAGTGCACTTAGGGACCTCTCCAAGTGATTGAGAAGTAATGATGCCGGTTTGAGAACTAAGGCGTGCACCTGGATTTGGGCCATGGTCTTTTTTATCACTTGCTATGCATCTGAGATGTGGACAATGAATAGGGATGACAGAAGAATTGATGCCTGTGAGCTGTGGTGTTGGAGAAGAGCACTGAACATTCCATGGACGACCTAAGGAACAAACAAATATGTCTTGGAGAGGGTGAAGCCGAAGTGTTCTTTGGAGGCAAGGATGGTGTAGCTTTGCTTCAAGTACTTCGGGCATGTTGCTAGGAGGGGCTATTCCTTGGGGAAGGACATGATGCTAGGAAGGGTGGAGAGTCGGCAAAGGAGAGGAAGACCCTCAGACCCTCACCCAGGTGGATTGACACAGTCACTATAACAGGCTCAAGTATATAAGAGATGAGGATAGCATAGGATAAGGCAGGATTCAAATTAAATTGTTTAGACGGTTACTGAGGCCAAGTCAACTCAATTTCCTACCACCATATATTGTCACATTTATCTGTATCTGGCATATATTTTCTCATGTTTGAACTTAATCTCTATGAGAGAGGAGACTGTCACTTATTCATTGTATAGCATAGTGTTTGATCTATCCATGAGATAATGACATCTTAAAATACCATATGGGGAGCTCTTGGCTTACTGGTTAGGAATTCCACTGCCAACATAGATACTCGGTTTGAATCCCCCAGTTGCTCCACAAGGGAGCAGACTTCTCCCATGTGATTCACTGCTTCTGAAAACCTGCTGGAGATATACAGGTCCATTTCGACTAGACAGTACACAACAATATACCACATACTAATTTCTTAGTCTTTTATATTCTAAGTTATTTGAAAGCAGAAACACTGACTTGAATAGCTGTATTCCTTCTGCCCTGAACACCTTTGATAGCCTTATTTCCACTCATATCCTCTTAACATCAGGTCCAAAGTTATCTATGTAGTTTTTTTCTGACCTTTTCAAGGGAGAAATATTGTTCACTGGGCTTAAAAACAGGATGCTCTGGTGGCCTAGTGGGAAGCGTGCATGCCAGGGATGTGTCCTATCTCCATACCTTTTAAATCTATATGCAGAACAGGTTATCCGGGAAGCGGGGCTCCATGAGAAGAAACGTGGCATCAAGACTGGAGGTAGACTCATCATCAACCTGCGTTATGCAGATGACACAACCCTCCTTGCTGAGAAGGACTTGAAGTGTTTGCTGCAGAAGGTCAAGGACTACAGCCTTCAATATGGATTGAAGCTCAACATCAAGAACACAAAGATTCTCACCCCTAGGCTGATTGGTGGCATCTGATAGTAAAGAGTTCAAGATTATTAACAGCTTTCGTTTGCTTGGCTCCACAATCAACACTCTTGGTAGCAGCAGCAAGGAAATAAAAAGACAAATTCCATCAGGAAAGTCAGCTGTCAGAGACTGGATCTCCAAAGTACTGAAAAGGAACGATATTGGTCTGGATACTAAGGTGCGCCTGATATAGGACATAATCTTTGCCATTACTTGCTATGCATCAGAAAGCTGGACAATGATAGGAGAACTGATGCCTTTGAGCTGTGGTGCTGGAGAAGAGTAGTGATTATATCTTGGGCTGCTAGGAGAACAAACAAGTTCATCCTTGAGAGGGTGAGACCAGCCTGCTCCTTGGAGGCAAGGATTCTGAAGCTTCATCTGACATACTTTGGACATGTTACAAGGCAGGACCAGCCCTTGGAGAGGGTCACCCTGCTTGGGAGGGTGGAGGGACAGCGCAGGAGAGGATGACCCTCGATGAGAAGGATTGGTTCAGTGACTGGGGTAATGGGGGTATGTGTGTCAGAGACAGTGAGATTGGCACAGAATAGAGTAAGGTTTAGGGCTATTGTACACAGGGTCACTATGAGTTGCAGGTGACTCGACAGCATATAACAACAACAATGGCTTAAAAACACATTTTCCACCTTGAGTACAGCAATTATATATGTTGTGTGCTGTAAGGACCCAGACAGTCTGAGGGAGGATGATGAGAAATCTCCTCCCTTGTGATCTACGGCCTTGAAAACAATGAAAAATCAGCTGTGAGTCAGTTCCAACCTCATGACAAAGAAGAGGACCAAATAAACGAATTTGACAGAATAGAACTACCCACAGTTTCTGGGTGGTAGTCTTCAGGGAAGCATAAATCCAAGTCTTTTCTCTCATGATGCACTAATAATGGGTTCTAAGCTTTTACGTTCTGACCGTTCCATTTTAGTACTTAACCACATGTGCCACCAGGGCTACTTACTACACATACTTAACCAACTCTATACCTTTGAGTCGTAGCGTCATGAGTCCTAAATATCTCATGGATTGCCGGAAGAGCAAACAAATGTCTCGGGAAGAAAGTGGAAGCAGGATGCTCTGCAGAGCAATGACAGTGACACGTGACACATTTTGGGCACATTTTTAGGAGGGGCTGGTCCTTGGAAAATGACTTCATGCTTGGAAAGGTGGAGGGTCAACAAAAAGAGAGGAAGACCCTCAGTAAGATGGATTGACAGAGTGACTGTAACTGTGGCTTCAAGTACATCAGAGATGAGGAGGTACACACAGGATAGTGTCAAGTTCAGATCTGTTGTCCACAGGGTTGTTCAAAGTCACTGCCTTTGGATGGATTCTGACAAACAGTGACCCTATAGAACAAAGTAGAACTCTTGCATCAGATTCCTGAGGGTGCAAATATTAATGGCGGCAAACTGCTTTATTGTTCTCCTACAGAGCACCCCTCTCATTGCTTTCAAGGGGAGACTCATAGCTGATCTGGCTATGAATCACACGGAGGTAGACTCAACACTTTTCTCTTGAGAGCTGCTGGTGGATTAGAATCACTCACCTTTGGGTGGGCAGTGCAATTCCCTATCCACTAGGACACCAAATGTCCCAACAGCTTGCAGATTCAAGCCATCAAACTTCTTGGCTAATAGTCCCAACACGCAACCCTCTATGCCACCAGGGCACCTTGTCATGTATGCATGTTGTTAGTCGTCTAAGAGTTGGTTGCACCTCATAGTGACCCCTGTCTATGTTCTACAGAAAGAAATACCATTCAGTCTTGTTCCGTCTTCATACTCTCTATTGCAGCAGCTGGATGCAGCCAGCTTCTTTTTCTGGAGCTTTTTTGCTGATCCTGTCCCAGTAATGATGCCTTTCTTCTGAGACGTGTAAGGTATTATCAAGATGGAACTGGTTTGTAGCTGTTCCTCCAGTGGCTTTTCAGAGGCTGTAACATGAACAGGAGATTGTCCTTCCTGGGCTTGCACAGCAGCTGAAAGATTTGAACTGTGTGTCTTTGGATGAGCAGCACAATGCCTCACACTAGGCCACCAGAGCTCCCCTCTTCAGTAACTAGCTCCTCCTAATAGCATGTCCAAAGCACTGTTGTTGATATGTGCCATCAGGTGGCCTGCAACTAACAGCAACTCTATGTGCAAGAGCTCTGAACCCTCCCTACCCTGTCCTGAGCCAGTCAGACTGACCCCAACACACCTACCCCAAGAACCTCGGTTACTGTATCAATCCATCCATCTCATCCACAATCCTTCTCTACTGCACTGTTCCGCCACCTGTCCAAGCATGATGTCCTCCAAGGATGGTCTGTTCTAGCCACATGCCAAAGTATGTAAAACAAAGCTTCAAAATCTTTGCCTTCGAGGACTGTGATTTCACCCACCCTCTCTAAGACCTGTTTGATTTCTTGGTGGTCCATGGAATGTTCAAGACTCTTCTCCAGCACCACAACTCAAAGACATTGATTCTTCTATCATCCTTAGTCACTGTCCAGCTCTCTGATGCATAGCAAAGACCATGGCTTGGATCAAGCCTTCGTTCCTATACTGACATCACGACTCCTTAGCACTCTGGAGAGGTCTGACAGCAGACTTCTCCAATGCAGTTCATCTTTTGAGTTCCTGACTGCTGGTGCCAGGAGTGCTGACTGTGGAAACAAGCAAGCTGTAATTGTTAGCAACTTCAATCTCTTCTCCATCTATCAAGAAGCTGCACTGTAATCCCAGAGGTACACGGTTTGAATCCATTAGATGCTCCCCGGAAGAAGGAGGGACAATCTCCTCCTGTACCAGTCAGATCCTATTTGACAGTACTCACACACACAAAATAATAAATTTTTTTAAATATTTAAAAAAGGACAACAGTAGATTTCAAAGAGCAACTGGGAAGACAAAGCAAAGCTGAAGTTGTAAATCAAAAGGGCTCTCTTCCAAAGGCTCTGTCAACTTCTGCATGACGTAGAAATCGCGTGGTCGTCCACAGAACGCCTGCTAAGCGGACGCTTATCCGTTAACAGACTCCATAACAAGTTGTACTGGTCTTGGGTTCAGCTTAAAGGGCTCAAAGTCTTGTTTTTGCAGGTTAACTTTGTTTTCTTTTTTTTTAATTTGTTTTAAATCCTCCCGCAGGCTGTCAGAATGAGTTCCCATTAAGGAAGGCGAGCATACTGCCTTCCTTTTGATTTAGATTTTGAGTTAGGATTGGTCCCGTCCGAGTCTGAGCGATGCCAGGTAATAGGTGTAGCCTTTGATCGCAGCGATGCTCACACAGTGATGCTCGCAGCAACTCTCGCAGGTCCAGTGTCCCAGCCAACGAATGACGTCGCACGGCGGCTACCGTGAGCCTCTGCGCCCCGCCGGGCTCCAGAGCCGGCAGGCGGGGCCGTGACCAGCGGAAGTACCTCTTAGGCCCGCCCACCTCAGTTCCGGAAACCCTCTCGCGAGAACTGCGAACACCACCGGTCAGGAAAGCCCGTGCAGAAGCGCATTCGCCGGGCGTTGGACGCGTCGGCCGCCGTAGCCCCTGCTAGGACAGCCCGTACGAGGCGGCTGGAGGAGGAAGAGAAAGGCAGAGAGAATCGGGTTACAAGATGGCGGATCTGTAGTGGTTCCCTCGGCGGCTGCGGCGGCGGCGGCGGCGGGAGAGCTACTGAGCTCTGGGGGGGACAAGGGAGGGGAGGGGAGGTGTGTGCGGGGGCGAAGTCAGAGGTAGCGGGGACTCCAGGCGACGAGGTCTCGGTGGGTCTGGTCTTCTGCGGCTTGAAGCCCTTTGGAACCATGGTGATCTCAGGCCTCTCCGGAGCCGCCGCCGCCGCTGCCTCCACCGCCGCTACCATCTTTCAAGAGTGAGGGGCGCAGACGAGGCGAGTGTGGAGGCGGCGGCCGGGACGGTGGGGGGGACCGCAGCCACCATGTCGGATACGCGGCGGCGAGTCAAAGTGTATACGCTGAACGAGGACCGGCAATGGGACGACCGAGGCACCGGGCACGTCTCGTCCACGTACGTGGAGGAGCTCAAGGGGATGTCGCTGCTGGTCCGGGCGGAGTCCGACGGTAAGGTCGGGGGGACGGCGGAGTCGGAGGGAGCGGCGGGAGTCGGGGGGACCTCGGGGTCCGGGGTAACGGGGGAATCAGGGGGGGACCACGGAGTCAGGGGTAACGGGGAGTCGGGGGAATCGGGGGGCCGACCGTGGAGTCGGGGGAACCTCGGAGTCGGAGGACCACGGAGTTGGGGGACCTCAGGGTCCGGGGTAACGGGAGTCGGGGGACCTCGGAGTCAGGGGTAACAGGGGAGTCGGGGGGACCGTGGAATCAGAGGGAACCTCGGAGTCAGGGGGAACGGGGGAATCGGGGGGACCGTGGAGTCGGGGGACCCCGGAGTCAAGGGTAACCGGGGAGTCGGGGGAACTGGAACTTCGGAGTCGGGAGAACGGTGGAGTCGGGGTCACTGCGCCCCGAGGATGGGCACGGCCGTGGGCTTTAGGCCCCTGGCCCGGTCACTGTGGCTCCCACCTCCCGGGACAGGCGGTGGGTTGGGGTCTGCGCTCGCGGTCAAAACAAAGTCCTCCGTCCGGGTTCCGCCGGCCGCTCTGCGCTCCTTCTGGCTCTCCCCCTCCCCCACTTTCCTGCGCGGGGGTTTGACCCCTTCCCCTCCAGCTTTCCAGCCTTCCCTTTTTAAAAGGACCAAGTTGAGAGAGAAGAATCTCCCGGAGTGGTCAATCGCCTTGATTCAGGAAGCTGCTGAGACGTCCCCCATCCCTTTATTTTCTTTTGGTCATATATCAGGTGTAGAAGATTGGGTGAAACTTTATCCTTTTAGAGAAACGTCATCACACACACACACACTCACTCACTCACTCACTCACTCACTCACTCCTAAACAAATCTGTTTTACCAGCCGATCTCAGTTGCTCGACAGGTGCTGGGGGGAACCAGGTGCTTTCTTCTGGGATCCCACGATACTTGCACCCACAAACACATCTACGTTTTTATAGTCCAGGATCCCTCCAGTCGGTCTTTGTAGAAAGTGCTTGAAAAGGTGGATCCTTTTGGGCCTTCAGGAAGTTAGGATACAGACTTGCATTGTCGTTGCCCACATTCTTTTGCGTTCATTGTCTTAAGTCATTTTTGCAATGTTTTAAATTGCACTGCATTGAAAGCACCTTTTATCGGGTAATCTGGACTATATTTGTGCCCCTCATACACTATGATAATAGAAAAAGAGCATTCTTACTTTTATTCTTGACATGTCGTAATCTCTCCATTTCCCTCTCTATTTTAAATAATTGTGGACTTTTACTCCTAAAGGTGTCCTGTGTTGTTTTGTTCTTCGTTGTGTTGTTTTTTTTTCCTCTTAAGAGAAAAGGATACATGGTTTACTGTAATTTGTGAATCAAATACTAAGATCCTTGTCCTGGTGCTTTGTAATGTATTTGTTAAACTGCAAAAGCAATAAAATAAGTGGTGTATCAAAGAGTTTGGTTTCAGGTGGTCTTTTCACTCTTAACATTTTTATGCCAATAATAATAGACATCTAGTTTTCTCAGCTTCTCTCCTTAGGTGGATATTTTTTTTTAAGTCTGAAAGATTAGATACATTCTTAATTTAAAAATGAACCTTTACCTGAGGTGAAACATGAAGTCTATTTTATGTATTCCATAAACTACTTCAAAATATGTCTTAACTAGATGAAGATTGTGCGTAACCTTAGTGTTTTATTTACTGAAATTTATGATAATTTTTATCTTTCAGGATCACTACTCTTGGAATCAAAGATAAATCCAAACACTGCATATCAGAAACAACAGGCAAGTAGTTGTTTATCTTTCATTAGAAAGACTTCCTCTGTAATAAAGGAAGTGTTAATCTGACAGAAATGAGACCGCTTTCCTGACAAGGCAGAAACATGCTTGGTAAACAAAAGTTACACACCTTAAGTGCTTCCCTTGCAGGTTAAAAGTTTCTGATTGAAAAGTGAAAGGTTTTTGTACTGGCTAAAATCCCTTCACCATGTTTGACTCAAACCACTCTTCCTTGATGATAATATAATACAGTGTATTTTCTTTCACTGCAGTTAAATTTCCTCTATGCCCTTGTAACACTTTTATTTGTAACTGACAGATAAATTGAAATTAAAGGAATTGACAAAAGGGAATTTAAAGAGGTACTCTTTATAACAAAGGAAAGCCTATTTGTGGTATAAAATTAGATCCTGTGATTTGAGTATTGTTTATGGAGCAGAAACATTTGAATTGTGTTCTTTTCAGTGTTAACATATTTTTCATCAGTAGATACTTTTAAAAAATGTAAATTGCAGATTATGTAACATTTTGTGTTGGTGTCTTTTTTGAGAAAAGTTTTATTTAGTATGCCTACTTTGAAAATTAGTGCAATGATGAGTTTTAATTGATGAAGTGTTTTTTTTTCTTATGAAGTATTTTAAAAATGAGAAGTAACCTGCTAGATTTGACAATTGTTAGCATTATATGTCATTTGTTCCAAATTTTTTGTAATTTTGAACGTTATGGGCAGAGTTGAATCCCTATTTGTACCTTACACATACTCTCTTCAGAACATTCTCCACCCTTACCAATGGTATCCACAATTCCAAAATTGATGTGTATTTCTGTGCATACTTATACTTTTCTCCATATGTATGTATCCATAACCAATATGTAGTGCTCTGTGTGGTTTTTTAAAATTTTACACAATTGACATTTATTATCATACGCTTGCTTGTACTCTGAAACTAGGAGTTTGCTTTCAACCTTATCTTGGAGACTGACTCATGTTAATATTGTGGATCTAGTTTTTTGTTGTTTTTCTTTAAACATTGTATAGTTTTCTGATGTATGTATACCTATTGCTAGACACTTAGATTATTTCTAGAACTTTTTCTGTGTGTCGTGTATATAAAATGAATATGGCAGAGCTTTCTGATAGAGACTTTATCTGCAGCATAAATGCTTGGCATTTTCTGGGCTCGTTCATGAAGATATGAATGCCCAAAAACAAATACTTCTCTGTACAATTCATGAATAAAAATATGATTACTGTTACACAGGGTTTTTTTAAAAAAATGTGTGCAGCATATGCTCAATCAGTACTTGCAAATATTTTCATTACTTTTTTTCGTATATTCTTAATGGTTTTTGGTTTGGGGTTTGGGTTTTGTGTGTTTTTTTTAAATACAGAAGATCATATTAAAAATTTGTCCTGAATTAAACCCTTGAATATAGTTCAGTTTCTACTTAAATGTAATTTCTAAACCAATCAGACAAAAATCATTACTCTTGTCTTTGTACTGCCGCACATTAAGTTTTTGTTTATTGAAGTAGTTCATGAATGTTCAGATTTCCCCTCATTTGTGTGAATATAAAATAACCAAAAATTCTACTCTTAAGTACTCTTAAGGTAGCTATACAAATTAGATAGAAATCAATCGTTTAAGGATTATGTTGATCAGTGCTTCTTTGTAATAAACCCAGTTTTTAATATTTTTGCCATAATAATCTCATTGAGCTTGTACTTTTTATCAAGCTCCACAAATTGGA